TATATATATATATAAGTAAATTTTTGAAGCTTAGCCAAAAATATTGTTGTTTATTTAGTTGTTAATATGCCTTATCGCGTATTGCACTTGACATTTATCATTATTGACCGATTGCAAATCTTGAATTCAACATCTCCATTCATTCCGATATGTGGGTATAGGAGGAGTAGACGAGCCACTTGATAACAAAGCACGCTTGCAGAGTGGGATAGTCGATCCTTGATTTAGACAAGGCCATGGATGCTCATTCACATTCTCTAGCTCGAATTCTTGCTGCTGCTAATAAGCTCAACACATTGAAGGAATTGATGAAAATTCTAACCCACTTGCAGGCTGTTGATTTTCTGGTGGCTACAAAAGGAAACTTCATCTCTCTATGTAATCATTTGATTACCCGCAAGTGAACGGAATCGTGAACAAGTAATATAGTAGTGTGTAGAGTGTCGAACCCACAAGGACTATGTATTTAATCGAGTTAAAGCTAACAATTCCCTTAATCGAATAGCAAAATTGAGTTGTAACTAACACTATTAAATCTATTAACTAACTCAAAAGCAATGTAAAAATTTATCAAATTTATGAGATGTATTACTAAGATGTAGAATATTCCATACTACTCAATTTTTAGTTCAACAATTTAAATTGTCAATTTAAAATCATGCTTGTTGGTCAATGTTCCTATTTTAATTGAAAACCTCTCTCGATAATTATCAAATTTATTCCCCTCATGTGACATTCCTATCTCTCGATAAAAGATGCGAACATGGTAAATGCATTAAACGAGCTAGAACATCTTTAACAACCATGTGAAGCATAGAGGTACATCTCTATCCTCTATTAAACCTCACAATGTTTATTATTATGAGCTAACAATTTTATTACCTCTCTCGATGATAATAAAATTCACAAATAATTCAATTAGTGGTCAATTAATTGAAAAAGAAACTAATTAATGATAAACGTCCAAACATTAAAGCAAATTAACGTCAATTCAATTATTTAAACGAAAGAACTTCATAACAAGTGTTTATCACATCCTAACAATATAAAAATCCAACTAAGCATATTGTCAAAATTAAATAAAGAAAGGATAAAAGATATCACAAAAAATTAACGGAACGTGATAAGTTTCACAATTAAAGCTACAGTTTTCCGTTTGTTTTTCGCCAAAATTGCCTATGCCTTTGTATCTCTTCCTTGGCTTTTATATGTGGCGTGTATATATATATATATATATATATATATATATATATATATTTCCCCAAGTCAACAGCTTTCGTTCACTCCAAAAAGGGTAGCTTTTGTGTATATGTGTCTCTCTTCATTTCTGCATGCATGTGTGTATAAATGTATATCACTCCAGCCAGCAACTCTTTTTATTCTCTCAAACAGTCGCAATTTTTTACTCCAAAATCAGCCCCATTTTTTGCCTTTTCTTTTTGCCTCTTGCCGCTTTCTTTCTTCTAGAAGCTACCCTTTTTTCGTGTGCGTATGTATATTCTCTTTCAGCAGTCAGACAGCCTCCGTTTTTTGTTGTAATGTATATAAACACTTTCCAACCAGCCTAAGTTTGAGCCCAATCAAAAGTTCAATTTAGATTTAACTTGATTTCAATTAAAAGTCAAATTTAATTCCAAGTAAGAATCCAATTGAGACCCAATTAATTTAATATTTTCTTCAAGTCATCCAATCTTCCAAGTTAATGACATGTAAGCCTTGAATTCATCAATTGTGTAGACTTTGATCCCTAAAATTTGCATCCAATGGCCAATTGATCTTTATTTCTTTTTCAAGTTACTCCAAACAAGTCGAACACTGAAATAAACGAAAATTAACTCAAATTATGTATAAAATCACTAATTTGAGGACATACAAGTTTAGTAATGTGGCCTAAATAAGTGCACAAAATGCACTTACTGCTTCAAAGTCACAATACAAAATCAATATCCACTCTTCCAATGCAAGACCAATGTGTGTGTGAAGAACTACGTAGACATTAATAATTTTATAAGTCATTCCAATTCCCGATCCTCTATGTTCAAATATATTCTTTCATCTCTCGTAAGATTCACACACTCCCAAAATTATTCTTTTTCACTCTTTTTCCAGCGTGTGATCCAAGGTTGAGTTTTTCATTACTATCCCCACCTTCTCCAATTCAGGTAGCCTCACTAATTGCAAGTCAACACATCAATGAAATGATTCTCCAATTATTTGATTGCTTCTATCTCTAGGACTCAACTAGGCTGATTATCCTTTTATCAAAAGTCAAATTCACTTGAACAAGTGTTGGGACTTAAACAATGCATTTAGTGCTTTTTTTTTTTTTTTTGCATTCCCCTTTAAACTTTCTAGATGACCCATGTAGCAAACTTTAGGTTGATGACTCTCAAGTCAGATGATTTTAGGGCAACAAATTTTGAGATACCCTTACAGGCTTAATAATTCGAGTAAAAAAAGGCTTCGAAAAGAATAATTATTATTTTTTATATATTTTTTATTATTTTTAAAGGCAATTTCATCTCTAATTGCTTTCTAAATGACCCATGTATCGAGCTTCAGGTCGACGGATCCCAAATCAAATGACTTCAGGGCATCAGGTTTCAAATTACCATTGCATGCTTAATTACTCGAGTCATAAAAGTTTCAAAGAGAAGTTTTAAATTCTAATATATGTATTGATTAGTGCAATGCCCCTTATCACACACCTATTCAAGCAAATCGACATCTAATTCAAGACTTTCGCCCCATTTTATCATGTTAATCTAAGACAATTCATACAATTTTTTTTCACACAAGGAATTCACATTCACATCTACATCTTCCTACAATAGTAAAATCACCCACACTATGCTTAATTCGGTCTACGGATAATTAATTTAGTATGGTTTAGATAAAATATCTATGTCCAACTAAATCAACCTATCAAGAGCATAAAACAACTCATTTCATCGCAATGTCAAACTCAATTCCAGTACGCATATAATATCAAGGTTTGCAAGGTTAAAATTCAATCTGTCTAGCATGCAACATATCCATAATTCATAAATTAATACTCAACCTCAATTTTAAATCATTATTGTTAGCCAAACTGTTTAACTCATACAAGCACACAACTTAAAAAAGAATTTTTTTTTTTGTTTTATAAGAACAAACACAAAAACAAAAGAAAATTTATTGATTTTTTTTTTAGGAAACACACAAGCATACGAGAAAAAAAAACTCAATTTTTTCCTACCCCAAACTTGAACCCGACATTGTCCTCAATGTCATAAAAAAAGTAAGATTATAAGGGAATGGGGACGAAAATGAAGAAAATACTCCCGGAATATCTATGGAAGGTGAGAGGTATTATGGGTGACAACTAGACAATTTCTTTCGCCATGCTTTTCCTTTGGACTATGTTGGCCTGAGTGTTCCACAACGTCATGGTCCTGCATATAGCAGTCAAATTAAAAATTAATGATCAAATAATCTAGAACATGTATTACTTAGCTCAAACAATTGTAATAACCAATGAAAAAAATTCAAAAGCCAAAGGGAAAACATAATAGGATGGTGATACCCTGCAAATTTAAACGTGTCTAAATCTAGTGTAAACTAATAATCAAAGTATTTTTATATACAAATGCGGTGCAAAAAGTAAAATAAATAAAAAAGTTAGAAAGTTGGGTCGCCTTCCAATCAGTGCTTAATTTATAATTTTTAACTAGACTGTCCGGAGAAATTGATTAGGGAGGTTGAAACAGGTATCTTGAGCTTTTGCATTCCTTGTAATTTTCAGCTTTACATCCTCATTTTGCTCTCCAAACCTTGAACCCTCTGTTCCTTCTCGTCTAAAGCTTCCT